ACGAAATCGTTTCAAAAAATTGCTGTTAACTGAGAAGCAACTATTCATATTATAATACGGCGAACTGCAATTTTTAAGGTCCCCTCCACGTTTTCTTGGGGTCGATGATTACAGTCAGCAAATACCAGCAGACAAGTGGGTTAGAGTTATGGTGGTGTGGGTGGCATTTTCTTTTTAACCCTTTGCACTCGAGTGGTGACTCTGAGGCACCACTAAAAAATTGTTATATCACGTTCTAAGATAATTTTTATATTATCAAAGTTTAGATTATAAACATTATTGAAAGTGTAATCGTTGTATGAATCACGAGATTCAATTTCGTACGCGTAAAATGCACTTTGTCTTGTAAAATGAAAGTACTACAAGTCAGAAAAATGATTTTAGATTTACAGTTAAAATGGCATCGAGTGCAAAGGGTTAAAATGTAATCCATACATGTCAAAGTGTTCAAAAGACAATAGACAAGTAAATTGATTTTAATGTATAGTTTAAATCCGTTTTGAAAAAAAGATAGATATTAATAAAATCGGATTACATTTCGTATCTAATTGAATATTTATAATTACTTTACTATATAAAAGATTGTATATTAATCAGCTCTTTGATTGTCTGAATGTGTTTGTATAAATATGTTCTTATAAAGTCACCTAAAAACGCAGTCAATATTTGCGTTATTATTTGAATAATTTTGGAATCTCTATTCGAATAATTTATTCGAATAAAGAATTATTCGAAGCATTTATTCGAATAAAGAATTATTCGAAATATTTATTCGAATAAAAAATTATTCATATCATTTATTCGAATAAAAAATTATTCATATCATTTATTCGAATCATTCGTATAATTCCTTATTCTACTAAATAGATAGAATAATCTATGACGAATAACGAATACTTGTTACTCGAATAAAATATCAATTTCGTTTCACAGTTCCAGGAATTCCTAATCGTGAAAACTGTGAGTCGAATTAATTAGTTCGTTCCTTCCACATTCAGAAACTTGCGCTGTTTGGTTCCCGAGCCCTCCATTCGTTGCAGCAACAGAACCGATGAAAGAACTCGGAGAACCATTAAGCAGCGGCCGATTTTTTCAAGAAACTTGGAACATAACAAAAAGTTGCTGCTTGTTGTTTCTGCGTGGACGCAGCGATAAGTTGTTGAAGCGCGAGGCCGCGCTGATGGATCGAGGCTGCTCGGAACACTCTTCGGCCCCTGTTTTCACGAACAGGAAAACTGTTGAAATGGTTCTCTGACCGGCTGCCACGCGGACACACACCCCGACAGCCTTTTTTCCCCGCAACGGTTTAATGAAACTCGGTCCACGTTTCTTCGTATGAATTGCTAATGCGCGGAAGTTCCGCAGAGAAATTTGTTTTGCGCCGTTATGAAAATTAATTGCTTGCATGAGAACGCGTGCTACGCCGCCGCCGAGAGAACTCCTTCAGTTCCTCGGACTATTTTGTTAATTACTTTGATGATGGACGGTTCGAGCAAGCCGCCGAGACCTTTTTCTCGAAATTCTTGGTTCGCGGCACTTTCTGTCGGCGGGTTGAAGTCGCGACTTCAGAGGAACAGCTTCAGAGGAAGCGAAACTTTACTTTCGCGTGGCCTCTTTTCCTAAAAAAAAGGAATCTTCTTTTCTCGGTTCATCGTATTTATTAGTAGAGATGTATATTTTTTGTATGAGGAATTGTATTGGAACAGGATGTGTGACGAATTTTTTCGACGGATTCAGGTTTATTCTGTGAAAGTTATTTTACTGGTTCAAAAAACTCGCTGCGAAGTTGATTTGGCTCGTTCTATAATTCATTGAAGTTTTACAGCCCCTGGCGAAAAGTATTCCAACACTTTTTAAAACGCAATAACTTTTTTAAAACTGAACTAGTAGCTTTAGCTATTTTTTTTTAAAGGGACTGGTTTACTCTACAATAGCTAAGATACTTTTCATTTAATTTTGCAATTACTGTGGCACTTTTTCTAATGGGATGATCCATTGATAATAATAGATATATATACTTCATGTTAAAAAAATTAAGGCTGCAAATATTCAGATCAATTTTTCTAAAAAAGAAACATATTATAATATACTCTGAAACTTCGAAATAGCGTCAAATTGGCACCAGAAAGTGTTAAGATAAACACTAGAAAAGGAGCACACCTTCAAATCACAGAATTGCGATTGAAAGATCACAGAAATGAACCAGGTGATATAACGAAGCCACCGGCAGGTGTAAAATGCAAGACGGATATCGTTGACAGGTTTCGTAGAAGTTGCCGGTTGTCGGAGCACGTTCCCGAAATCTCGGTTCCCGCAGCGGCGCGATCGCCCGCCGGAATTGCTAATGCAATTACGCGAAAGTGTGAGATAATGATATGCGCCGGGTATTATGCGTGTTCCCGATCCACTAATCGCGGGTTTGATAACGCGAATCCGCATTGATCGTTCCGGAGGAGCATAAATTCTGCCAGAAAAACAGGGCACGGCTCGCGATCATACGCGTCTAACGAGATCCGATTCGACATTCGATCTGTACAAGCGAACAAAGCGTTTGACACGGATCAGGAAGCGTGTAAAAAGAAAAAGAAAATAGGTGAACTGCGGCGACGACACTGGCACGCGAAACTGAAACGGAAAATGCACCGCGGACTTCGCGACGTTCTTGGCACTCGTTTTCATTAAGCACGCAGAACGAGATGCTGGAAGTCCTTCACATTGCGCGATGAGAATCTTAATGCTATCGCATTAACATAAAAACATCGTAGAGTCCGTCGGCCAAGATTTTGTAAATTGTTATTCTAAATGCGACGGTTACTCGTGAATTATTGCACCGGGCCTGGCACCGCTGCAGACAGATAATTCGTACATTTTCATTGGCCCCCTTGCACGTTCCTCCAGCGAATAGCACTTAAATTCACTTAGCGCTGTATCAGCTTGATGCATTAGCATGGTTGCCAACTGCCTTCGACTTTGTTAAGCCTCTTTATATTAATTTGAATACGCCGCCTCCGCTCTCGGATCGCCATTTCACCCGGTAGACACGCTATACCGTGGACACCCTTCGTATCGTCACTCCCAGATTTTGGGGACTTATCTCGGATTTGGATTCCGCTCAGCCTCTTACGGTTTATTACGGTTCCGGCGTAACGCTTAGACGATGCACGATGTTAGAACACCTTTTGACAATTTAACGCGTCGCACGAGTGTCACTCATTCTTAGATTCGATTTACAGTGATTTCTCTCTAATTCGCGCTCAGATTGCGCACAAAAGTGGACAATATAAATAGAGGACATGCGATTATTCGAGCCTTGCCGCTCGTTTTTTTATAGTCTCCGATTGCCAACGACTATAAAAACGAGATGCAACGCTCGAATAATCGTATCTCCTCTTCCCAAATTGTCCATTTTTGTGAGCGATCTGAACGCACAATTAGGGAGAAATTACTGTACGTCATTACTCAAACGCGACATTTTGTTTTCTCTTTTTCGCGGCTTGTTTAATCGGCTGCGTTCGATCATGATGCACGATGTTAGAACACTTTTTGACAATTTAACGCGTCGCACGAGTGTCACTCATTCTTAGATTCGATTTACAGTGATTTCTCTCTAATTCGCGCTCAGATTGCGCACAAAAGTGGAGACAATATGAAAAGAGGACATGCGATTATTCGAGCCTCGCCGCTCGTTTTTATAGCCACCGATTGCCAACGACTATAAAAACGAGATGCAACGCTCGAATAATCGTATCTCCTCTTCCCAAATTGTCCATTTTTGTGCGCGATCCGAGCGCACAATTAGGGAGAAATTGCCGTACGTCATTACTCAAGCGCGACATTTTGTTTTCTCTTTTTCGCGACTTGTTTAATCGGTTGCGTTCGATCATGACGCACGATGAAGGACGCTTTTAACAACGTTTCGCATTGTACGAATTTTATCCACTTTCGGATTCAGTGCACAATTTAATGCACCACGCAATTATGACATTTTGTTTTCTGTTTTCGAGATCCATTTAATGTTGCCGTATTGATTATTACTTGCCAGTTGGATGTTTGACCACAACGCACGATGTTGGAACAATTTTAACAACGTTTCCCGCCGTACAAATGTTATTTACTTTCCAATACAATTTGTAGCCGTTGTCTGAATTACGACATTTCGTCTTCTGCTTCCACGATTCGTATATCGTCGCTGTCAAAATGATCACTAACTAATTACGCGTTTGATCGTGATGCATGATATTTGAGCAGTTTTAACAACGTTCGACATTGTGCTGATATTATCCACTGTCAGATTTGATGCATCATTCAAGTATGTAACTTCGTCTCCTATCTCTACGACGTGTTTGATGTTACTGCCTACTTGCTACTTAAGCATTCGGCGCGCGTTGCTTTGAAATGCAGAATCCTGCGGCTTGATCGTTTAATTTCAAGGTGCTGCTAGGCATCGAGCACAGCGTTAAAAAGGAAAACAAGCTGGCGCGACCACATTATCGATTCGAAGAAGCTGCAACAGCAAGTTTAACGAACTTTGCTATTCAACCATCGAACGATATTAAAAAAAAGAAAAAACAGTAGGAAGTACAATCATCGGAAGTTCACATTATTAAAGTCTCGTTACTCTAATTGAAATCGACTCAAAAACACTTTCTTGCAAGTCAAGCTAAACACTTCATTTCAAAATCATACGGTGTTCCATGGCGATGGTTGAAATTAATTAGCAAATAACTGCCTCAATATCTTTGCCAGGATAACGGTTCATCGCAAATTGCCCTGAAATTCAATGAAACAATTAAGATTTTACTCGATTTTGCCGTAATTTGAATTGCTAAACGTCGGGCTAATTGCGAAAGAAATGGTTAAACAAGCGCCACGGAATTAGAGGAAGTTTTAATGGTAACGCGATTCGCTCCTCGATCACTGTCGCGAGGGTTCCGTGTCGCGGATCACTCAATAATCGCCGGCGGCGTTATCGCTAAACGTATTTCCGTCTTTAATTTCAGGTGCGGTGCTGGTGAATCAGACGGTTCAGAAGGAGAAAGGTTATCGGCTTCCGTTCTGAAAAACGTTCGACGCCGCGAAAGTGGAGCGGCTACGGGAGATCCGGTTTCGGAAGGTCGGAAAAATATGAGCATCTCGTAAAGTCGGTTGAAGTGCAGCTTTCAGACCACGAAGGGAGACACCATGGAGACCGAAGAACTCACTAGGCTCGTAGATGAGATCTACAAGGTAAGCGGCTCGTCGCATCGGATAAATAAACTAGGTTAAATAAAATTAATGCATCGAATGAACTAAATAAACTGAGCTAAATAAATTAAGCCGAACAAACCAAATAAACTAAGCGAAATAAGCTAATTAAACTAAGATAAATGAACTAGAAAAAATTAAGCCGAATAAACCAAATAAACCAAATAAACTAAGCTAAATAAGCTAATTAAACTAAGATAAATGAACTAGATAAACGAAGCTAAATAAACGAAATATGCTGATAAATAAGTGAACTAAGAAGTTGACGGAGAATGTCGTCATTCTTGGAAACGAAACATCACTGATAGATTTTTGAGTAATTTCTGAGTAATTATTAAACTGCAGATATTTAAGCAAAATTAAAAGTATCTTCATCATCTGTATGAAACAGGAATTAGATAAAAATGTGTTTGTCTTTTTTTTGGTTAGTGTTCATAAAGTGAAAATAATGTGGCAATATGAGTAAAATCTCCTTTTGTTTTCACTATTATGCCTTTCATTTAACCATTTTTGTTGTAACTGCATAAAATTCGCAGTCTGTTAATCAAAGAGGCAGAATTAATCTGGTCAGTTTAATTGTCATTGTGTCGTAGACGTTGTTTCCACGTGCAAAATCGTGTAATTAAGATTATCGTGTGGGATCGAGATCGGTGATAATAATTTCTGCTCTGTAGAATTTTAATTGGCGAAGTATAATTCTTATTAGGTGCTTAAATTCTTTTAAGACGGTCCCGACTTTAAAATGCGCGGCTTATCGAGAGAGATCCAACTGAAACCGTCACACATAACTTGATTCAGGTTAACAGTTCACATAAAACTTTCGTGTTGGTTCTTTGAACTTTTATCTCTAGGAAACAGTCGAACAGTATCCCGTCTTCGGGAACTGAGTAAAAAAAAAAGTTCTGCCATCTTCGAGAGAAACGCTTCCGCAGAACTTTGATGCTCGCAAAATCTAGAACCTTTTATAGTACACTCTAAAATGAGGTGAACTGATTATTCGTGCAATCGAAAACGATCGATAGATTGCGGATCTTTACGTGAAATAAAAATTATCTCTATGTTGACTGCAAGTTATTGCTTTCTCCGTTCAATAATTATAGTAAGTTGAAAATAACGTAACGATATTCTTAAACTCTTCTAATCTCGTTACAGTTTCGTATTTTACTTATAAATTATTTATTAATCCGCAGTCTCTCTCTCTCTCTCTCTCTCTCTCTCTAATGCTCAAATTACAGGCGTGTGCAAAAGACGAGAATTATGAAGAAAATGCATTATGATTTAATCAATTAATTAATTTATGTATACGGGTAAACTCTCATTTTTACAATGACAAAAACGATGCATAAAATATGTTGAATAACCGAGAATGAGTCAAACAGGCGAGCAGTTTATAAAGACTTAATTTGACAAACATGTCAATCTTGTCTTGTTAATAACTGTCCTGTAAGATGGGTCTGTCGAACCAAATCTCGGAGAAAATTTTGTTCGAATAATTTCCGCGAATGAAATACGATACAGTTTAATGTCCCTATTGTTTCGTATTTCACCCACAGGATTTCATCGCGAATGCATAAAACCGGCGGTGTGAGAACGATGATCTGCATGCGTGGTTCGCGTGCAAAAAACTCTTTGTTCCTATTCCCGTGGTTCCATTAGATTTGAGCGACGACGGGAGATGTTTCTAGCAGCTCCCTGTCTTCTCGACAGCATGCAGCGATATCCCGGAGTCCTCGAAATTTGTTTTCTTACATTCTAATTCCGAGCCGGCGCACATTTTCTTCTGCTTCGCGGAGGAACGCGAATTACCCTGACCCTCGTTCCGGCCCGTCCACGGATATCCCCGCGATTATAACCTCGCCTTCAGCCAACGAATTTTCCGGTGGGTCTCCTCATGCGAAGATGGCTATGCTGCGCCAGTGTATACGCCGAGATACCTCGGTCACGTGTCACTCGATAAATGCGGAATAATGAAAAACGAGTTTCCGCGCCGTGCGCATCCCTGTAGACACAAGCTTTCTCTTCAATCATCGGATTTTTAGACGAATTTCATGTTTGTCTTCGGCGTCGCTCCATTTTTCTCCCGGATGCACAAAGAAAGTTGCCGGAGACGGACCGGACACGTGTGTTCATTGTAATTTCTCGAGGCTCGAGCAGCTTTCTGTATACTTAAAAATTAATTTTCCTGGCAGAGAGCCGAGCTAAGTAAATCTTGCCGGGGTTTAGAAAATGCGGGAGTGTTAACACTTTATTCGCCGGAAGCTTATCAATAGACTTTTCAATCGTCGAGTTGCGTACGAGATTTATTATGCCCCGGGAGACATTTAACAGACAATAATGAGAGACACGGACAGACAATAATGTAAAGAAGATTACAATAGAGTATAAGAAGCATGATAATTTTTTTTTAAGTAACAATCTCAGAAGAAGTTGTTACAGTTTTTGCATACAAAATTTTTACACTCTTTCTTTATATTGTACGAAGAACGACGAAGAGTACGATGAAGAATGAAATCAACTCATTTGAACCCACGATTACAGAAGAAAATTAATATTAAATGAAAAAAATGTAAACAAACATATAATTAAATTTAAAATAATGTAAATTTCTTATCCTGTTTCTCATTGTTTTGCGAAATCGTAGTAAATAATGTCATCGTATTTCCAAGCACAGTAGAACTCCATTTATATGAACTAAAGCGAAATCTTTCAAATTTGTCAAACATTGTAAAATAGTTTCATCTTTTTCTGGTCGCGTCCTTACCCGTTTAATAAGTAAATGTAAAGAACGGAGGACGCCAATGTGTCTAGAAACTGATTCCATTATCTACCGCAGTGCTCGGAATATTTCCAAACGCAACATTGGACTCCGCCTCCTGACTACCGCCGCAGCGCCTCGCTCCCCGCGTTGCTCCAATCAGCTATGAACGGAGGCGGAGTCCAATGTTGCGTTCCGAAGCATTCCGAGCACTGATCTACTGCATCTACTGTCTGATCCGATTCACTGGTTCAACATTCATGTCTAGTGACTTACGCATCCCCGATAACACGAATAAAACGTGCGGAGTTTACATTTGTTCACATTCGCAATAACCGGATGTTCGTATAATCGAGTAACGCTGTACAATAATTCAGATAACAGGAGCGCAGCAGAAGTTCAGCGCATCGGGCTATCGCTCTAAATTTCGTCGCGATAAACGGAGTTCGGGCAAGTGGCGTTCTCCTGTACTTTCCTCGAGATAAGAACGAATAGAATAAGTTCGAGCAGCTTTTGTGGTCAGAAACACGGAATCCACGTAGCAAGTGGTCGGAGGAGGATTACCCGCGGCAGATCAAACGAAATCGCGAATTGTATCTCGGGCTCCTCGGTGGGCTCGAATTAAAGAAGGGCACCTCGGGCGTCTCCCTAATCGCGGGAACCAATTTCACGGGAAATTTATTTCCCAGTAGCGGCAGTCAATCTCGCCGGGGCCGTGACACGAGTAATCCGCGGCAGGAACCAGAGGAGGCGCCCAGACGGAGGCGCGGCGTCTTTCCCGCGCGTTGCATTATAACTTGAAAAGCTCGGTGCTCGGGATCCATCCGGTCGGTGTGTACAAAACTGTTTCGCCGCTCGAGGCTGCGCGCGTCCCGCAGTTAATCCATCTATTTACCCCCGCACACTTATCCAGCTGTCTGTCTCTCGGAAAACGCGCGTTCACGCGAGAACCCCCGCAGACACGCTTACCGCAGAATTTCTTGATAATTAGGTGTCGCCCCGGAAAATTATCCGTCGCGAGTACAAGCGGCTGCCGCACAGGCGGGGGCGTCGGACGACGCGAGAGGGAGTCGTAAGTGGTGGATGGCGCTCACGGGAGCGAGAATGATTAGGCGGAAGGTAATCTTATTAGTCGTTCGGCAGTCAAGCTTTCCTTTAAACTCCCTCGCCCCTCCCGGGACCCTCCCAGGCCCCTCCCGGTTGCCACCAGGTTCCCTCCAGGTTCCCTCCAGGCTTCCTTACGCCTCTTCTCAGCCTCCTCTTGGCCCCCATGGCGACCCCCTCTCGGCACCCTCGACCCCTGCCGCCGTCTTTCGCGCCACGAAACTCCGGTCTACCCCATTATCCCTCCAGACGCAGCCCGTTACGCGAACTAACGACAGATACTCCAAGGAAAATGCGAAAGCGAACGAAGAGGCGACGTCTAATAATAATGATAGCTGTCAGCTTATATCGGCTTACACGCTTCCGGCTCCTTTTCCACGATCTACTTTCTCCGCTTTGATGTATATTAAGCGCCATCGATGCCGTTATTGCTGGCGGAGATGTCGTTTTCTTTTTCGGGAAGGATGTCGACGCGGAGTCGCTCGCGGAGATCGATCTTCTCATTTTCGAAAAATTTGGGACATTTGAACTGGAAAGTTGATGGAGTCCCACGGTGATCAACCAGGTCTACGTTCGAGCTGGAAGTCTCTGCTTCGTTTATTACGGGCAGAACTGCCATGAATGGGACATTATCATTACCTCGAAAATTGTGAATCTTTATCTATGATAAGATTATTCCTGTTTTGTGATTACATTGCGCGTGTCCGATCACGTGCAAGGAGTCCCTGCCAGTTGATACACTAATGTGTGTCCCATTCATGGTAGTTCTTCCCTAGAATGCAACCAATCGATGAATGGAACAAGATGCAAATCTCGAAGATATTAAAAATAAAACTGATCTATCGAATGTTTCAAATTAGAGTTACGTCGTTCACTTTTTCTGTTGTCCTGTTCTGAACAAAAATGTTCGCATTCGGTGTCCCGCAAATAGTTTAAAGTATTTTGTTAAGATATTTCACGGCTGTCTAAACATTTTAAGAGTCTGGAAAGCGCTCGCTCGACGTCGGGACAATGTTATGAATCTCGTAAAATTTTTGCACTGTATAAATGCCATAAACGTATCGCTAAATAAAATGCCTCGTTTTAAAGCCGGCATAAGAATTCCGTAGTTTCGCATTACGTT